TATACGAAAACATGACCAACACGCACACATACACACACACTCTCTATATATAAACAAACAAATATGTATATATTACATACATACATACATACATATATATATATACACACACACACACACATATATATATATATATATATGTGTAATATGGATGTATAAATATATTCATAACACACACACACACAATATATATATAAATTTATATATATACATATATATATACATATATATATATATACATATATATATACATATACATATATATATATATATATATATATATATATATATATAAACATCAAGACGAACACAAAAACACATATATATAACATATATATATACATCAACACACATAAACATATACACATAAACACATACAATACAAACACAATACACAAGTCAAACACAAATACAAACACAAACGCAAACACAAAGAATACATATATATATATATATATATATATATATATATATAGTAAATGTCTACATGTATATAAAAATATATAAACATTTATATAAATATATATATATTTATATAAATTAGATGTCCGCATGTACATTACAGTTTATAAACACTTCGTATATATATATATATATATATATATATATATATATATATATATATATATATATATATATATATAAATTAGATTCCACATGTACATTATAGTTTATAAACACTTAATATGTATGTAGATATATATATATATATATATAGATATATACGTATATATATAAATAAATTAAAATATAAAGAATATATATATATATATATTTATTATATATATATATATATATATATATATATATATATATATATAATTTACATATGGAAATTGTAAACTCTATACAAATTGATATTGTGAGGGTGCCAAGAAAGTCTTGCTATCAATATAGTAAACACCAGGCTGATGGAGTCCGTTGTGTTGAAAGCTATGGCCAATAGTCCATTTAGTGGTGCATAAACCGTATTAATATTAAGCGCAGAACAAATGCCTTAGTGCAAGTTAGCTTTGGTATGTACAGTATCAAAATAGCAACTATCTATATGGAGTGACAAGGTCAGCACAACAAACCATCAAGCAAACGACAAAAACTCAAACGAAATACTGTATAGCAGCCCACATATACGATCATCCGTCCTTATGTGATCAATTCATTCACACGTTGGATTCTATTTATATACCTTGCTTTGCTGTCGGGCCCTTCCGGGTGATCTATTCTCCTGTACAATGAGGTCATTTTCCATGTCCTCCATCATTAACGAAGTTCCATTCATTGTGTTGAATCGACAGATGAGTACTATTTACGAGGTGTGTATGTGAGCACTGCACACCAAGCGGGTCGAATACTAGCCCTATCCACATCAACAACGGGCATATTTATGAGAAAAAGAAAGAGAGTATGTTTATGGAAATAAATATAGAGGGAGTATTTACATATCAACTACAATCTACATAGTTCATCAACTTTTCTATGACGTCCCTAACAACAACAATTCACGTAGACCCTATATAGGCGTAGTAGTATTTGCGCAATTGCCCTCGAGTATAGCTTTTCCAAGGATATATGCGAATCCACCAAATCCCAAACCTTTTGGCTTTTTATGTGAACCTCTTCTCTTCGTGTCCGCGGAGTTTGAAAAGGCGTATCAGTGTTAATCAGTACTGGATACCATTCCCGTTGTCTGGTTTGCCTACCTGGATCCCGTTCTATACTTTCACTAAGCCGATTTATCATCACAGTATCGACAAAGATGGTCGTATACATATGCTTGGGCATACTCAGAATGTCTCGAAAGATAAATATGTCGCAACAGTGGCAATCGGTAGATCGCACGTGGTGCGTGTGTATTGAGTGACCAATATTTAGCTGAACCATCCCTAGGCGAGTGTGTTTGCTGGATGGACATACTTCAGTAATCATAACCTGACTCACCCGCGAAGGGATTGGAAACTTCGGAATCAATCCCACGTGGCACTATAGGACAGCATGCTGGGCGCCCGTCGTACAAATATGTATGAATTTCAAAGCTACCACTAAACATTTTAGCTGACACTATGCATTTTACGCAATTTGTCATACTAGAGATGAGCCTGGTATCCCTCAATTAACATATCCTTCTTGTTGACATCGATTCTTCTACTATGGTCCGAGCCAAATCCTGGCGATGAATTTCTCATGGACGTGGTTTTCAAATGTTAGGCATAGTATATTGTTTTGTATATGCATAGAAAGGAAGCACTATTGACCCTCTACTGCATGCACGGAGGTATATCTATATCCTTATATTGTTTATATATGTATATATGCTTTGTCTACAGACAATTCAATGTCTGGATGCTGAAGTTTCAGAATTGTACTGGTATGTCCGTATTTACAACACAAACCAGCTTACAATTAATTACAGGTGGGACCATGGCATCTGATTAATTACTGGATGGGTAAAGCTAATAACTCTAATGGCGACAAGTTGTTTTACGGTACCCAACTTTCTTCATGCACGACCCAATCTCACAATCGACTGTCATTTGCCACTCATCCGAGTCCAAACTCACTGGACTAAGTGCGAGGCGAACGCTTCATGTATGCATACACGACGATTCGATGGTATATGATGAGCATGAGCGCGTTGACAAATGCTACATCCAGCTCAAGAGATTGCCAGATTGTTAGGCCGACAAGTAGTTGCGCTCCGTATACACAGTATACAGCACATAAATGAGGACTGACTGACAGCCCACTCAATTCGAATTCTATAGACATTCTGGTCCTTATAATCCGGCTGGATCGTCATTTTCCTGAAATCCAGGCTTTATTTCCAATCTCTGTCGGACGTGATATCCATTGCAGACACGGCTTGCTAATGTTCTAGATTTTACGTATATTATGCTAATAATTATTTAGAGGTCTATATCGTGATGATTCTGACGCCTCCCAGTTTGGCAATGTCCTGCTTGAAGGTTTGGCCGGGACAGGCTATAAACATAAAATGCTTGGGCACTCTGAGATAGTCGCTGATCATGTCAATCTCTTCTCTATCAAACCTTCCCTTGATGGCGATGAAGTCGAATCTGGAGTGAAGAGGAATGCGACGTATGCACATAGAATGAGAAGACTTAGCACATTGCATTGATCCGTCACTAGGTTAATCGATTGGCATGGATTGCTAATACACCTCGAATCAACAACGCGGTGATGTACTCCGACTATAGCGCAATGCATGTTTTGGAAACTCTCGAATGTGTATAAGACAAAATTAGCGATACAAAAGACGCAGAACGTATTGGGGCGAGATGGGCTTACCGCATTTTGGGATAAATCTGGTCTAGTAGCTGGATGTCCTTGGAGATCCTCGCTATCTCACTCTCGTCTTGATAGACATGGACAAATTGTAACCTGTATCCAATTCGATTTGTTATAGTTGACATAAGCTGAAGTGGGAATACGATTTAGCGATTCTACGATTGCCCAAACGGAAAAAACCGAACTGCATACATCACTCAACCTATGTATATACATAGCGCATGCTCGTGCGCAAATTGGCTTGACACTTACCAACTCGTTTGCTCGTTGCCGCGGACGTATAGACAGGCTTTGTTGAGAACCACAATACTTTGGTCCTGCATGTACGTGCGAACATCAGAAAAGTTGAGCTGACTGCCTAGATGGCAATGGTGAGCTCCATCCAGTGTAGAATAGATGGCATTGGTGGACTCCAATGCAAAACTTGGGTATTCTTCTAGTATTCAATAGGGGCTGGACCGATAGAGTTTCATGCTCTGGGTAAAACGTGAGAAATAATTATAATCACACGATGCTACGTGCGCTGCATACCTACCTTTACGAAGAAGATCATCCTTTGGCTCTTGATCCTGACACTGGTCTTGACCACTTGGTCCATCAGCCATTCAGTGGGCTAGTAGGTGTTACAGCGTAGAGGGTAAACCATAGATCAGACTATGCGTTACGTATCGTAATAGTAGTGCGATGGACATGCTTGTATGTGATATCAACAAAGCAAACAGGTATACACCTGCCTTCTATGGTTTGGGTGTCTTTTCGATCATTTCGCCCACTGAATGCATAACAGGCGCAAAAAATAGCACACCCAGTCTACACAGAGGATTTATCGCCAACCTGTCGTAGATCTGGGCAAAGAGAGATACCTCGTAGGCTGCTTTATGCATGGATCGAGAAGCGTCAATGCGAAAACGAAGTATACGTGTACCAGGCAGAAGCTAAAACAGCACGCGCAATGTGGTCCCTTCCCACTCGAGAAGTGGTCAGGGACTATACGGACAATTGAGGAGTCATCTCAGCAGATAGCACAGTCTGATCTGCCTACAAGTAACAAGACGAATGCTGATTGTGGTGTCTGAGCACTACACAGCATCTTATAGCTACGTTATACCATACACTAAGTATCTACAGGCTTGAAAATGATTATTAGACGTTGGCGTCAAACCGAATACATAAAATACAAGTGGTAATCCGGCATGAATTTCTTGGCAAGCACTTGTATACTCCGCACGCCAATCTAGCATACATTGATAGGCATGCATATAAAATACAGCCCAAGACACGTGTCATACAGTTAGCATACCTTATACCCCAGTAGGGAGAAACGCTCATGTCGCACATGGACCAGCCTACTGAGTGCGAGTTTCAGAATGACGTCTCTCTGCAGTACAGACAAAGCGAATCCACCATAGCTATTAACAGAAGGCCCACCACAGTGGCGCTGCAATTACTTCCAAACACAAGATGAAACAAACGGTAGAAACCGACACGAAGAAGTGGGAACTTACGTAGAGCATGAACTCGATGACTATCAGGCACACGAATAGGTAGAGGCAGAACCACTTGATGAACTTGATGTTTTGTAGCATATTGCCCACCAACCCAGCGAACACCAATGCCATGGCCAGCAGCACCTGCGTAACCGATGCCTTGACTGTCGTGAGTGAGATGTTGAAAGGGAGAGAGAGAGAGAGTGCGGATGGGGAACGTAGATTAGCATGAGATGCAATACTGTTTTATCGTGGTCGATAGCAAACTATCAAATATATGGATCGCCAAACAAACTGAAAAGTTATTAAATAAGATTTTGATGTGAATGTGAGAAACCTAGTGCCAATTACTTGTTAATAACATTTGAGCGCAAATGAAGATATTGGTAGGGCAGACTAGCCCATCATTTAAGACAGATATGTTCGGTAATGTTGCAAGTGCAGCCGAAAGTTCCCTTTTAAAATTGACTCTCAGGTGATATACTCTACAACACAATATGATCCATTCCAATTTCTCGAACAATAAAGCACTGCCACAAACAAACAATTCGCCGCGTTACTTGGGTTAACACATACTGACGCGGTTGATCTTGTGTCGCTTCCACTTCAGTAGCAGGTTGCCCATGCCGAACAGGAACATCACGGAGAGGAAACTAGATTGTAAAACGAATGAGCAAGGGTTTAAGTGCGTGCTTCCCATAATGAAGGATTGACAAGAAAAATCAGATATGTATGTGGGCTCGCGGAAAAAATAAACGAGTGACAAGACTCGACAGAACGCGACCGATATGTTAGACTAGCAACAACTGTGTGAGACAAAAAAAAGAACCCCGTTCTGGGTGCATTGTAGAGAAACAATTTGACACAGACCTACCTCAGTGTGTAAATGCCTGACAGCACCACCTTATTGCAATCCATTACAAAGTACAGTGACGTGCAGGTGAAGAAGAACATGATGATGATGTTATGATTCGTCCCTGAAGTAGGTTAGAACTACCAGTTAGCACTCTGATGTGGCTTATAGCATGTCAGTAGTCTGATACTCATCTATACTACGAATGTTTTCGTATGCAATAACAGTCTCATGCGTGCCACAAACGGTAGCACAGAAAACGTAATTGGAAGAAAAAAAATGCCAGAAAAACTCGCGGAATAATCACTCCGATCACGTGTCTAGGAAAGGCTAAGTAACTTACCCCTGAGCTTGTTCTCCTTGAGGAAGAAGTTGGGCAGACAACGATCCAGCGCCATCCGCCTCATCAGACCGGTCACACCGACATAACTGATAGCCATAAAAATTACGTGAAATTGGGCGAGATCGATGTAAGTGGTAGTATTGTATCGCCCCGAGGGACAGCTGAATTGGGAACCAAAACAACAAGCGTGTCCACCTTTGATTTTTTTTGGCACATCGTCAAAATAGATTGGGCTACAACAGAATAATCAATGGCAGTGAAGGTACCAACATATACTGTAAGGTGTTTGAAATGTAGTACAAACTTCGACGCATTGGCACGACGAGCGTAGAAATGTTGCCACAAACCTTGTAAGCACAGCTCCACTCAGCACCAGCACAGCATCGATGCCAATCAGAGTCTTCAAATAGTCCTGTGGTAATACCGCAATTAGTATACAATAGTACGCGTGCGCTGGGAGTAGATAGCCAATACAAACATAATATACAGCATAGCTGCCTCGGAACAGCTACACCAGACCTACTTGCCACAAGATAAATAAATAACAAGAATTCTGGCTGAATGCTTCGTGCGATCCTTGTGACCTTACCGATTGGGCCATATTAATGAGCAGATCGTCGTTGTTCGGTCGCTTGTCCACCAGCGGCAGACCCATCGCCGTCTCCAGCGGAATGACAGAGATGGAGAACAGACTGATGTGGCAGAGTTAGGTGGAGGGGTACAGGTGTCAGCAATAGAAATATAATCACAGATATGAATTCATCAGCAGCAATAGTACGAACATATGGGTTGAGACGGTTGAAACAACCCGGACGCTCAGTAATAAAACCAAAGGATTGGCGAATATGGTCTGCGGACACGGGGAAGGTGTGCGAGTCAGAACATAAGATAAAACTTGTGGATGTATGCACGTTTCCAACCATGGGTATAATTTTGCGTATGTGCGTGGTGTGTGTATGTAGTGCGTATGCATTCCATTTTTTATACTTGTCCAGTACTTTCTTGATTGGATTTGGACCGAGAAGGGGCACAGTGGCACATATTCACATTCCGCCAGCCTTCGGACTGTATGATATAGACTTCGCTGAAGGTGTGAGCACTCCCTGCAATACAACCATAGCCACACTCTAACAGTAAACCAGTAAGTACACTATAACCACACCAGCACACACACCTGATGAGAGGATTGAAGAACGCCGTCAGGGCCCACATATTACGCAGTGTCTTCGGGAACACTCCCGGTTTCTGCTCCTCGACAAAATTTGCGGAGGTCTCAAACCCACTGATACCCAGTAAGCCCGCACAGAAGCCGTAGTATATGGCCTGAGAGAGCGTGTACGCGTTCGCGTCTTTGACTTGGGTCAGATCGAGGTTCCAGTTCTTGGTCAGAAGCTCGAACTTGTCGTAGTAAAGGAACACACTACAGTCTACCAGCAACAGAGACAGCGTAAGGATGTGCATGATAAAGAACCCCACGGCCACCGGTCCGCTCTCATTGATTCCAATGAGATTAAGAAAGGCGAAGAGTGCGAGGATTACCACCGTCATCCATTCCACGCCTGAAAGTAAAAGGCAATGGGTGCTTGGTGGTTAGCAGAGATATACAGTAAGAACAATCGCTGATAACTATAAGGAGTCTGCAAACTACACACATCAAACAGATGTGTCGGCACCGACCAGACTCAATATAAGGGGCAAATATATCAAACCGCCACAAGTGTAATAAATACGACAACAAAGACAGACACGCGGCACCAATCAGATCCAGTTGTATAGAAATAGACCATACGTTCACAAGTTCACAAACACAAGAGAGGCAGTTTACGTTAGCCACAAAAATAGCCGGCTGCTAACCATACCGATTTCTGGCACGAGCGCGTGTGCGTAGGCACTTGCGGTGGCCGCCGACACCACAGCCGTACTAACATACGACAACAGAGTCAGACACGCAGCAATGGAAGAGACCTGCTTGGTGGTGGTGTTCAGCAGCGCTGTGTATGTGCCTCCATTGACTGGTAAGGCGGTAACCACCTCTGAGTAGATGTCGCGGAAGAGATATAGAAGCGCAGCGACGATGATCAGCGCAAATGGAGCCCTAGTTGTCGGTGCAGAGAGAATGTGGAATGTGTTAAGGATTTATGGGGAGTGCGAGGGGTACGTGATACCGAGTTTGAGATGTGTACTTAAATCTCTATAACGATTATTTTATATCATGAGCAGCACACACGACATGAATGCATCAAAAGAGGATTTTAACTTACCAGCAACCAGCATAGTATGCGACAATTCCGGCGACGTAAAGACACGAGCTCGTGATATCATTGCCACTGATAGCTGTGGCCACCAACTGGCCAAGCTGTTGATGGTCGTGCGCGGGTGTAGGGGCCTGATAGACGAAGTCACGAAGGAATCTGTGAGCATCATTGGTACTGCAATGCAGTAGTGAGTATGAATACGGGTTGATTATAACTGAGACCCGCCGGAGAATGAGAGTGTGGTAGCTATTCGTATTCAACGATAGCATAGCTATAGAAAACGCCACAAACACCTATGCATACTGCACTCGTAATGGCTATATATACTGATGGTACACCTGGTGTCCTCTACAAGTCGGAAGTCCCACTCATCGAGACTCATTGTCGAGTGCACTGCATGGCCTTGAGCGGCTATTAAGATATACTTCGACTCATTGAATCGTACGTTATCATACAAAACCAGGCTTTACCTTCAACAAAGGATTGTTCTCCTCCAGTTCTCTCGGGTCAATACTCTCAGGCACTTCTGAAAGGCGCACCAGTTTGGTGATAGTGCTCTGCGTTCCGTTACCAGAGAATTCCCACGCTTCAACGCCTTCGGGCATAAGTTCGTCATCGTGCGAGGTACTAGATTCGCAGCGATGATAGTTGGAAGTTAAAACTTTAATTCATGCGGAAAAGGTACAGATATATACTTTTGGCTATTGCCGACTAGCTAAGATCTTGGACGTGACTTCACTGTCCGATATGTTGGTACTGCCACTGTGACGAACTGCGATGTATTCTATACATTACATAGAACACCAATTTTGTTTGTCCATTGATACTATCGACGAGATGGGCAGCTATTAACGAAAGGAGTGAAGTCCGGCCAAGTAAGAAGCGTCATATTTCCCAAGCACAATACTAATCCGAGTTGTAAACGTACATACCTTTTCAAGCATAATAATATACGTACGCACATACACGGTGTCGAGAACTACATTATGTATAAACACGAATGTACACATATATGCACAATTGACGTCGCCTTCGTATCCAGAAGTTTACATACCTTACAAACGTGGGGACATGAAATCCGAAGTGTGTATGCACTCAAGCCTTGAGCAACAACAATAAAAATGTATACATATAATCTCAATAAAAACAAGAACAAATCACATATGTAGCGGCAAAAATCAATACTAGAGTACAAATATTGTAAACGAGTAAAGGTATATGTTTATTCTTATATATATGCCGTCGGAAAAGAAGTATAGATGTCTAAACAATGTATCACACTAGATGAATGTAAATACAGACACCCATAAAGACGCGCACGAACTCACACACTTACGTTTCAACACATAAATACATACATATATACACATATCTATATATCAATCTATATTTAAATCTATATTTAAGTCGATAGCTATAGCTATATCTATATCTACAGCTATATATTTATAATACATATGATATGGACAAATATAATTATATATATATATATATACGAACGCAAGTAAACACACACACACATATATATATATAGATACACACGTATATATACATACAGATATATATATATATATATATATATATTATATATATATATATATATATATATATTATTTATATATATATATATATACTATATATATATATATATATATATAGGCATGTATGTACGTATAAAATAAATATATTCATATACATAAATATAAAAATATATAAATATGTATATATATATATATATATATATAAGCCACGTATAATATATATATATATATATAGATATATATATATATATATATATGTATGTATGTATATAGGCATATATA